CACCAACGAATGGCACCAGACTGATAATGTAACCTTTGCTGTTTTCAGTACCCATTCTTTATTAAGGTTTCCGTATCTCATAGATTCCCGATTGTTTGCCTTGTTAATTTAGCTCTGTACAGTTGCCTCCCATACACCTTCTCATGCTTGTCTTACTATTCACTTGTTACATGGCAATGTGTACAAGATGGATGTACTTGAGTTTGAATGAAAGTACATTCCTTTCATTTTATTTCACGTAAAAATCATCTGCCAAAGATTTATTGGCAGTTCTTTTTATAAATATGGTACATACCAAATAAAATTTCTATTCTTTGTTTCTCACGACACTCCCTTTAACTTTTTAAAGTGCATGTAGTTACATTAACTAGAATAGCTGCCCAATATCTATTTTACTACAATATTTTAAGCCAGGGGTTTCAAACTCACATCGTCATGGCGGCATCATGACATATTGGGACTTTTTCCCCTTTTGTTAAACCGGGCGTGGGCATGGCCAGCTCGTAATGCATTCAGCCCCTGGGCCAAGAGTTTGACAGCCCTGTTCTAAGCCCTTCCCTTTATTACTTCTGAAAACATATATATTCAGCAACTTCATATCAGTTTTCAATGGATCTACATGATAACTCAATTACTATTAAGCCTCTGCAAAGTATTTGAAAGTACACTACTATGAGTGTACAGAAAATATTAATAAAAGTTGCAGAAAGTATTAATAAAACTGCATCTTCAGGAAAATTTGACATGGCTGAATCAAAGGGTTCTTCTGAGTGCATATGCAGAGTTGCTTAGTTTTTGGTCCAGTAAAAATGCTGTCTATGAATGAATGGGAAGACAACTGGTGAAAGCTTTTGAAGTCGTTCATCAAGCCTTCCTGGAAACAGTTAATTTACTGATTCCAGAATGTTTTGTTTTTCCTAATGCATTCTGCAAAATATCTTTCAAATGCTCTGCACAGCCTTATTATAAGCACAAATTACATACACACATACACACACAAAAAAACCTCCAAGCTCAAAACTCACCATTTTATCCATTCCCTTTGGCCCAAGACTTGTCCTGACAGCATCCGCAACCGCTAAAATAGATGAAAATAAATTTATATACCCAAAGAAATTTACTTCAAATGCAATTTCATTTATTGGATTTGTTATGGCTGCCCACTCCAACTGACCACAATATGATATAACATAATAAATTTGACACTAAATCCTTTAGGATGTTTAAAATGCTGGCTTCCACAAAAATACAATAAACTGATTTATACTATTAAGCCATGACATGTTTAATTATGGTTTGCTCAATAAATTCCACCTTCTTTAGTTCACATCACATGGACCAAAAATGAAAAATCACAATATGCATGCCAAATTTTCAAAGTATACTAACTCAAAAAATATTTCAAAGTGACTTGTATACTGATTCCATGTATCAGCTGTCATAGCTTATTCATGTAGCAAACTAAAGTGGAACAAATCCTGCTTTTGTATAATGTATGGGCTCAATAACTGTATAGAAAGCAAACCAATACTACCCAAAAAATAGCAACAGTAATAGTAAAATAATGTTATTTTATAATGCTGTCTTATATTAATTATATTTTAATATGTTGGATAGTGAGAGAGCACCATTTCAATTCAATTTAATTATATATTATATTACTTAAAAACAAATGTTATTTGACAATAACATGCAACTCACATTCAATGTGAACACTAAAATAACTAAAATCTGATTAAAGGATCATTCTCCCCATATGAATTTGCTTTTGATCCTCAGTTTTAGTTTTACTTGCATCTGGCATCACCCTGAGGAGGATCCATGAATCTAACAAGCCACAGCTTTCTGGAAGAACACTCAGGTTTGTTCCAAGCCTTTTCCACTTAATGCCCTCAATCTTAACCTTTAATCAAAGCGACAACATTATGGTTTACTGCGCTACGCAATCCAAGAAAGATTTTCTTGTACAAAAAGTTTGTCTTTTGTTTCAAATCACATTGGAAACATTCAGGACAATGACACCCATTACACTTTCTAAAAGTGGAAAAGAATAGGAAGGGATGATAGCCATCTTCGTGGCCACAGGCTGCAGTGTCATTCGAAATCGCTCAACAGTCTGAATGCTGTATTCTCTTCTATTGGCGCGGAATACATATTGCATTAATTACCACGAAACGAATGCGATGCATCTTCCCTTTCATCAAAAATAAAATAAAATAACAGGGTTATAAACAGCAAATCATTATTGCTGCTCGCCCCTCTTTATCTTCAACAAGACTCCGAAAGAGCCTCAGTTCATATCAACAGAAGAAGCGGAGGGCCGAGGGTGTGGTCTGGGTGCTTTAGGGGCTGGGAGCCCCTGGCCGAGCCCGCCAGATGTCAACAGACCGGTCCATTCATCCTCTCCCCCCCACCTCCTTCCCTATAAAGGCCGTGGGATCTCCCATCACCTTTGCCCGCAGAAATGTTGCTGAAGCGGATCTGAGCGGGCTTATCTTTATCCTGGTAACAACTGCGATTGCCGCCGGGGTTGCGGTTCCCTGTGGCCGCATTCAGAAAGGCCCCCTTTGTGCTTGCGTTCTCCGGCATGTCTGCGCCCGGATGGCCGCTCAATCTTCCGATGGAGATGGATTCTTTTCCCCCAGTCCTGGAACCTGCACCACCAACGCCACCCCAACGTCGATCCGAAGCTTCCAGAAAGCGCGCAGCAGCAGTTGGAGAAGAAAGGGCCTTTCATCCGTCCCTCAGGCCGGCGCTGAGAATGACGTTTCTTAGAGGGCTGTCTTTGTAAAGTGCCTGAGTTCCAATAAACACAGGAAAGCGTTTTTTCAGGTCTTTCCTCTGAGAAAGGAAAGAACGAATTTGGCTTGTGTGCATAAATGTCTTCCAGAGGCTGAAGTCAACTATTTTATATAGGACAATAATACCAAACAGCGAATAAGATAGACGTCAAAAGCCACAGGCTGCAGTGTCATTCTAAATCGGAAGCATTAAATTTAACTACCACGAAATGGAAGAAGAGTTTTGCTAAAAGAAAGGAGAATATTCATAGACGGTAATGGAAGCTAAATTATTGAATTTATAATTAATAAAATAAAGAAAATCAAATGTTGTAAATTGCAAAGCACAAAATAGAGAGAAAAATCCACATATTTATTCTACAATTTTGTTTTCTTTCTCTTGAAAATAATCCGATATAAAATGAATGGGATTTCAGAGTAAATCTGCATAAAAATACAGACTAGTAGAGATAAATGAGATTTAAGAACCAAGTTTTAAGAAATCAGCTTAACTTTTCAAATGGGAAGAATACTTTCAAAAGCAACAAATGTTGCATAACTACCGCAAGCAAATCATTAATATTGGGAGGTTTCTTTATGCCACAAATTCATAAGTGTAAAACATCTTTGTTTTACTTATCAAATGTATATTTTATTTTATTGCAGTGGGCTGAAAGAATTGTTTCAGAATTGTTGCAACTTTATCATTTTAATATTACAAAATTATAATACTAGAAGAAGTATATAGATCCTTTTGATGATTCTTTTCATCCCAGCTTCATATGTCAGGAATTTTTTAAAAACTATTTTATTCCAAAGCAAAGATAAAGTGAGAGAGAATTCTGTTCAGGAGCATTTTAAACAATTATAAACTGACTAATGAGGGATTGAAAGTAAATTGCTCTTCACAAAAAACTTCCACAATTTTAGTAGAATACTATACTGTAAAATACTATACTATATACACTATACGCTGCTACACCAAGGGTCTTCAAACTTGACAGCTTTAAGACTTGTGGACGTCAACTCCCAGAATTCCTCCTCCAGTCATGTTAGCACAGGAATTCTGGGAGTTAACATTCACAAGTCTTAAACTTGCCAAGTTTGAAGACCCTTGTGCTACACTACTTTTATTTGACCAAGTGTGATTAGAGACACAATGGGATGGAATAGAATAGGGAATAGAATATATGGAATAGAATAGACTAGAATAGCATAGCATAGCATAGAAGCTGGAAGGGACCTCGGAGGTGTTCTAGTATCTAGTCCAGCCCTCTGCTCAGACAAGTGACTGTCCAGTCTCTTCTTAAAAACTCCAGTGAGGAAGCGCCCATGATTTCTAAAAGCAAGCTATTCCACTGGTTAATTGTCCTTACAGTTAGGAAATTTCTCCTTCTCTCTTTGATCAATTTCCAATCATTATTGTCCTGCTCTCTGGTGCTTAGGAGAATAATTAGACCCCCTCTTTTTTGTGGCAGCCCCTCAAATACTGAAATATTGCTATCATGTCACCCCTAATTCTTTTCTTTAGACTAGCTAGACCCCAAACCTGCAACCGTTCTTCATATGGTTTAGTCTCCAGGCCTTTTAGTTGCTCTTCTCTGAACTTTTCCCCAAAGAATTTGTCTCCAATGCAGAATCACTCAGTGTATATGCAAGGCAACAGAATAATCATAATTCCAATAAAAGGGATGTACTAAAGAAAGTAAGAATAATACATTTATACAACATATACCTATGTTCTCATGGAAAAATGCTAGAGAAACTGGACCAGAGGTGGTATTCAGCAGGTTCTGACCAGTTCTGGACAACCGGTAGCGGAAATTTTGAGTTGTTCAGAGAACCAGCAAATCCCACCTCTGACTGGAGATTTTACAGTATCCTTCCTCTGCCACGCCCTCCAAGGCATGCCCACAGAACCGGTAGTAAAAAATTTTGAATCCCACCACTGAACTAGATTGTACAATATTTATATGTGCAAGGTATAATAAGTCCCTCTAGGAGGAGATAAGCACCTGTATAAATTTGATTAATAAGTAACGTCACGCAAACATGTAAAAAAAAAAAAAACTCGCAGGCTTCTAGGTCAGAAAAACATGCTATAGAACTCGTATGCCATGCATAAAGGAACTCGGCTTTCAATTCCCGTCACCAAAAGGGGGCGCAACTATCCCCAGGAAAGAGCGGTCGCCTTCCAAAGAAGAGTTTTTGTCCCCGCCCGGCTCCCATCCTCCAAGTCATTTCAGGTCCAGTTGAGCTTCCTCAAACAAGATGGCGGCTTCCGCGGAGCATCCCTTGCCTGAGCCTGCCAAGCCCTTACTCGGGCTTCTAAATGGTATCGCTCAGGCCACCTTTTATGGCAACACAGAGATCACGGAGGAGCTGCTGCGGGAGCAGCTTTACCCGGAAACGGCATCTCAGGAATTTGGGGTTCTGCTGGCTAAAATGAAAGGAATCGTCAAGGTAACGGAGGCGGAGCTGGCAGGTTGGTTGGGGTGGAGCAGAGCGGTGCAAACGGGGGCGGGGGGGGGAGAGGGGCTGCGGTGGTCGCAGCGAGGCCGGTTTGGCATCTGGGTACGAAATAACACAATAAAAATCTTTGCCAAGCCCGCGCTTTTCAAAAGCACGCGAATTAAGCACACTTTCCCTGCATTTCGAAGTGGGAGCAAGAGATAGGACCAGCTAGCTAAGAGCGGTACCCGATGCTCACGGCAACTCAGATGCGGATGAGAGGCAGGATCGGGGTAGATTTATTTTCTCAAATCCAATATCACTCTTAGACCACTTCTATAAAGCAGTTCTGGACAGATACCCTGATAGCAATGCTTCTAGAGAGCGCAAGCTTAGGGGGTGCCCGCTCTGAAGAAAAGAATATCTTCTGGGGGTTTATTTCTCCTCTTCTGGAAAGGGCAGCAAGGAGGAAATCCCTGAACTTCAATCCCTTGTTATCCTTCAAATGCAGCCAGAGGAGTAGCTTTTCCTCCTCAGAGCAGCCACCTCTTCTTCTCACTTATCTGCGCTTATCTACAGCTTGCTCACTTGTCAAGGCCAGGCCTCCTGCTGCCATAATTCAGAGAGACCCTGCAGGCTTTTTCCTTACTGGAGCTGGCTCAGATCTGATCAGGGCTCTTAACACTCTTGCTCAAGGCGTGACCTGACTGGAGGAAATGCCATTTGCTCCATTTCACTCTCTTCTCCCCAAGGGCGCTGTGTGTGGAAGTCATTTCTTCTTGCCACATTGTTCTTAGAAAGAGGAATGGCAGTTCTTTCCATGCATTGATCTCCAGTGTTGGCACTGACAGATCTCAATTGCCAGAATTTCCTACGTTTGTTCCTTGGGTCAGTGCAATCTTGGATTTTAAAGCTTGTAACATCTTTTTCTAACTCGAAGCTAGAATTTGAGATGCATGCAGTTTTTCTTAGAATTTGAAATATAATTTCTACATCTAACTTTCAATATTTTTTGCTTCAAGAATGTCCAGCGATACTTTGAGACTGCCCAAAGGGAATTTCTGGTGAGAATTCAGTTTTGAATGAAGGTTCTTTTAGCCCTGAATAAAGTATTTTTCCAATTTTAGTGAGCTATTTTCATCTGTTTAAAATAATCTTGAGAAAAGGCTTTTTGAAAAAAATTAAATACACATTTGGAGAGAGTTATAGGGCTTTCCCCGAGTATGTTGTATGTAAAAAGTTTGTATCTTTTTTCTGCCATCAATAGAAGGACTGCTACAAAACCACTGGTAGTCCTACACTTACAACCACAATTGAGAATGGAACTTCTGTTGCTAAATGATGTGGTAGTTAAATGAGCCTTGCCATGATTTTATGACTTTTGCTGTGGTTGTTAATTGAATATGGTTTCCCCCAATGACTTTGCCTGTTGGAAGCCTCTTGGGAAGGTTTACAAAAGGCAATTATGCTATAAATGTTGCATTGATATTTATGGTATGACATGATAGTTTAAGGTATAAATGTTATTTTATTCATTTTGATTAAACGTATTGTTGAAACCCAGCCAGTGTAACTTTTAAACTAAGACATATTGTTAAATACATTGTATGAATTGAGCCAACTATTTGTAAGAAACCATGAATCTAGCCAGTATTTATCTCCCAAGCCTGATTTGAAACCAAACACCTTCCAGGGATTTTATTACCCTTTGCATAATTGCAAAGAAAGCATAGATAATTTAATAAAATTATTTTGATATTTTATAGGAAATATCAACAGAAATTCAAATAAAGAACTATCTTATAGAATAGAATAGAATAGAATAGAATAGAATAGAATAGAATAGAATAGAAT